AGCTCCGGGCGAGGCATGCCGGGAGTTGTAGTCTCGGCGCTCCCCTGCATTTGTTCCTCTCCTGGCCGACACGTCGGGACCGCACGGAGCGGGCGATCAGGTGAGCCGGCAGCCCGGGTGGTGTGTGGGCGGGAGCGACCTGGGGGCTTGATGGCGGTCCGGGCCGGACTTGTATCTACACGTCTCCGGAGTCATGGCTGCCGCCGTGGAATATAGCGCCTGGCTGGGGCCCGTGGCTGCCCCCTGTACCGGGGGAGATGTGTGGAGGCTCCTGGCTGCTGTGGAGGGAAAGCGGGTTGGCAGCCTGGGCCCTAGAGACGGGGGCCCCGTCTCCCTTAATGCCTGGGCAGGGCCACCTGGGGCCTCCAGCTGCTGGGGAACCACAAATCCCAGCATGGCCTATCAGACAGGGGCTGGCAGGGTGTGTGGCCCTGGTTGTGGCTCAGCAGCTGGTGTGCCACAGGTTGCCCATGCCCGGAGGCTGCTACAGGGGCACAATATGCCCCTCCACAGGTGGTAAGTGATGGTGCTGGACTTTATGGGTGTCCTCTTCATCCCCTGGCTTCAACACGGACTATAAGCTATAAGTATGAGTGTGATGTGTGTTCTGCCAGTACGGGATGGGAGGTGCCAATTGTAACGTCAGTGATCAGCTATGGATGATATTATTGACAGCTTCCAAGTCATCATGGACCCGATCACTGAAATCTCATATCGCCTCCATGTTCACAGCAAACGTTTTTAAATCTGCAGCTTTCCTTAAAATGCCCCCGCACTTCCTGTTGTAAGATGACAACGCTCTGTCACTGTCTCCCAAAGTGTGCTCCTGCATTGTCACATGGGCTTTGGATGGAGATCACAAGTTTACATGTAAAAACACAGTCACGGTCCACGGTTGTAACCATCAGGAAACGCTATGCAATCATCGCTGGGCCACATGTAGACAGGAAGTGGCTGCAGGAGATAAACACAGGACAAAAAGTGGGAACAGATTTGTATTTATTTGTTTTATGATCCGCAGTACAAACAAACAAAATGTTCAACTGAATCCAAACCCGGATCAGTGATTATATACCTGGCACCTTAGCGGTCCTTGGATGTGGTGGCTGCAGTAGTTTTCTCTTCTAAACTCCCCCCCCCCCCTTTATTTTCACCTGGTGACCCTGCCAGTAACACACTTCCTGCCCTAGGGTGACAACACTCACTCAATGCACTGTATATACACAGGAGCAGAGTTGTCACCCTAGAACAGGGTCAAAGAAACCTCCCTGTCTCAATGTCATAGTGGGGAGGGCTGCTCTGTAGTCCGCAGAGAGAGAACTGGCAACAATGTAACTGATAATGCAGCAGAGGAAACCTGAACAGGAAGTAGCAGAATCAACCTTAGGGTTGGGGGGGGGGGGGAATTAACCCTTGTAGTTGGGCTACCCTGGCCCTGCAGGGGTTAACTGCTCATTTTGGTCTGTGGGAATGGGTCTAAGCCGATATACTCTCCAGATCCCCCTGCCGTGGTCAGCGCTCACCCCTCTCCCCCCTCTGCTCTGCTTGTCGTACGTCCGTCAGCACCCTCACGTCTGATGCAAGTCCATGGACTGTATTAGCTGTGATGACATCACTCTGGTTTAGAGCACTAGAGCCCGGGGGGAGAAGAGGTTGTAGGGACCGGTCTAGCAGCCAGGCGGGATCGGGGATCAGGTGAGTGTATCTTCTTTATTTGAGCTCCCTAGGCAAAATGAGCAGTTAACCCTTACAGTGCCAGGTAGCCCCACTACAAGGGGCGGGGGTGTGACGGTGGGAGTCACATTCTCAGGTCAAGGTCGCTTTAATAGACCAAAAAGGGGGAAAATAAGAGAGGATCGTGGCCAAGGGTTACATTTAGGGCTGTTGTAGTAGACCTGCTGAGGCTTGTAGTTCCTCCACTGCTGTCGTATTTGGTAGGCTTCTCCCTGCAGAGAGCTGTGATTGACAGTCACTTCCTCCACGGAGGGATTCTCCAGCACTCATTGCAGGGACAGACAGGAGGGGGGCGGGCACAGCTGGCTCTGGCTTTAGAGAGGCAGTGACAGATTTCAATCAAGTAGCAGGGGGGATCCTGTCAGTATTGTCGGGATCTTTCCCGGCTGCAGTGTGGCTCTGTACTAGCCCGCTATGTGCTGAGTTTTGGGTCACAGGAGGACATAGTAAATGTGACCTAAAAAAGAACTAACGTCAAAAAAGGTTTGGCCGTAGTTCTCTTTTGAGGGACTTCTCAGGGGCTGCTGTGATAGACCGTGTATGTTCTGTATGAGAATAAAATTGTCCAAAATGTCTTGGTATGCTGATGCCTTAAGAGTTCCCTTCACTGGAACTAAGGGGCCCAACCCCTGAAAACAACCCCCCCCCTCCATTCCATGAAGCTCTCTACGCACTGTTGTTGTGCCAATCTGAAGGCCACACGAAGTTTGGAGGTCTATAACTATTGACTCTGCAGACAGTTGGTGACTTCTGCGCACTGTGTGCTACAGCATGCGCGGAGCCCGCTCTGTCATTTTACATGGCCTACCACTTCATGGCTGAGTTGCTGTTGTTCCCAGTTGCTTCCACTTTGTTATAATACCACTAACAGGTGACCGTGGAATAATTAGTAGCAAGGAAATTTCACGCATGGACTTATTGCACAGGTGGCAACCTATCACGATATCACGCTTAAATTTACTGATCTCCTGAGAGCGACCCGTTCTTTCACAAATGTTTGTAGAAGCGTCTGCATGCCGAGGTGCGTGATTTTATACACCTGGGGCCCTGGAGGTGATTGGAACACCTGAATCCAACGATTTGGAGGGGTCTCCCAAAACTTTTGGCAATATAGTGTATATCTTGGGCTTTTGGATAAACACTGCCTTTACCCAGTCAGGGAACTGTTTTTGGCAAGGTTTTGGCTTAATGTCTATTTAATTATAAGCAGAAAGGTAGAGAGAAGCTTAAAGTGGAGCTGAACCCAAAACGTGAAGCTTTGCAGTGTGTTGGAGGACATCCGGAATTGCCTCTAAGCAGTGTCTTGAAAATTGTACCATTTTGTCTGGAATTCCTCCTGAATTGTAGCCGTGCAATTCCTGGCATGTGAGTGTGTCTGGGTACTCCTGTACCTAATAGCCTCAAAGCTTTATACCTGCAGGTTGAGATCTCAGGCACTGCTGCCTCTTAATGTTAGTCTGGAGAGAGATTTGGTGATGTCACTATTGTGCTTCTCACTGTTCTCCTTGCTGGAGGCTCTGATGTGAGGAAGCAAAGCTCTGCCTCTACCAAGATGGCCGCCTCCATATAGATAGTGCAAAACAAAGCATGGTAAGTCAGTAACGGGGAAATATCAGCTGCAGCCAGACTATGGGCAATTCTGATGACTAGTCCTAAGTCCTCTGCTTTTTTTTTTTTTGGCAACGTTTCCATAGCTAAATTCTTCTTTAGGAACTCGGTATTTAGTTCCTTGCACAGTGGGTCCATTTGGGGCAAATTTTAGGGACCTGATCCGTATCCTATGGTTTCTCCAAAGAGTTGTTCATGGGTTTTTTTTTTCTCTGGAACAAAATTGATAAAGATAATTCTGTGCAAGCTGCAGTGTTCAGCCTGGACAGTCCGTAGTGTTAGTCTAATGTATTACTATGCCATGGAAGGGCAGTCCTTTCCTATCGGAAGATACCAATGTCGGTCTATCTCCTCTGATAACAAGTACTGCTGACAGTGGCATCATTTTCTCAGGTGTTTCTTGACTTTGTCATATCTCTTTGGAGAAGTAACATGCAATTTTTTGGGGGGTAGGGTGTCATGGGGGGCGCCTAATCAGTACTGCATGCACCGTCTTGATTGCAATTGCTCCTACTCTGCCCCAATGGACTGCCTGCAGTGCACAGAAGTGGATGTGTACTGCTACACTGATTCACTGTCATGAGTTCTAATGCTCGTAGTCAAGTCATGGGAGAGGAGGGATGAAATCATCTGTGTGCTGGTCTTAAAAAGAAGATTTCAGTTTTGAATACTTTCTGGCAACTTGACATGCGTAGCATACTTGTCTCTCCGGGGGCCCAAGTGCGTGTAGAGGATGCTGTTTACTATTTAAAGCCCAGCTCTGGGGGAAAAACGTTTTTTTTTCTCAGCTTTGGATAGATTTCAGAAGGGTAAATATGTGTTTATTGGTGTCTGTGATCCTGTTGGGGGGGGATAGCCCCTTACTTTCTGTCTGTGTGACAAAGCAAAAAAATGAGGGGAGCAGACTTGGACATCACTGGGAAGAGAAGACTTGGACATCAGTAATGTGACAGATTTTAAAGGGGTTATAAACCCTCCGTTTTTTTTGCCTATATCTACTGCTAGCAAGCAGTAGATATAGACAAAAAGTTTTAAAAAACGAAACGCTTTAACAGCGATTTACTTACCCTGTTTTCGTCGCGCGCTCCCATCCTAGAATCTGAAACTGCTTGGGCGGCCTCAAAGTATCTTAGGGCGGGCGCATGCGCAGTTCGGATTATCGGCCGGGAGATGAGGAGAGACACAAGGTAAGTATATGGACGCGTGCACCCGCATGCAGACACCGTGGGACAGGAAGTGCCAGCAAGGACAGAGGAGTCAGCGCTGGATCAGAGACCAGCCGCAGCGCTGGAGGGACAGATGAAAACATCAGGAAAGAAGGGGGAAGATTGGATTAAAAAACCTCATTTAATGTAAGTATTAACATTGGGGGGAGGGGAATTTTTTTTTTTTTTTACTTTAATGTCACTTTAAGTAATTGCTTTATTACAGGAAAAAGTTTTGTTTCAGGCCAGGTTCACACCTAGGCGATCCGTGACGGCGTGGCAGTCGTGCATGGAATGGCACACCACCGCAGATTGCGCTGGCGGTGCCATCATTTTCTTATGGCACTCCAGTCTCCGCATGTAGATCGAGCGGGTTTCCTGCCGCGATACCACCCGTGCAATCGTGCAGGATCGCGGTTTAAGAAAACCACGGGATGCGTGTCGCCAAAAAAGGTACATGCAACTTTTTTCAGTGATTGCTGCGTTGATGTAACCCAATTGAAATCAATGAGGCCCTGCCGCATCCGCTGCGCACACGATCGCGTGGTCCTGG